CTCTGACTCATTTGGGGTCTCTGTCTGTTACTGAATAAAGTCTGACTAATTGGGTATTTGGTATGAACCTCCATATCGAACCCCTCAAGGGAATCCCCCCCCAGTCTAAATTTCACACTCTTTCTCCACAGCCAGCTCATGGAGGGAGAAGAATGAGACAAGGAAGGAAGGATGTTGTCAGCATGGGTGCATGAGAAACATGGGTCAGGCATGTGTGAGTAAATGTGGTATGCATGGATGGATGTGTGGGTGTCAATTGTGTGTGCATGTCACACCCATGCTGAGATAGGTTCCGCAAAGCACCAGTAACCTTCACATAACCTTCACAATCAACTGGGTTCATGATCTAAATTCATAAATTAAATAAATGTAGGAAAGTCTGAGACTGCCATTTGGCATACATTTAAGTTACCTGTTGTTGTTGTTTAGTCATGTCCGGCTCTTCCGGCTGTTGTTGTTGTTGTTGTTTAGTCGTTTAGTCGTGTCTGACTCTTCATGACCCCATGGACCAGAGAACGCCAGGTACTCCTGTCTTCCACTGCCTCCCACAGCTTGGTCAAGCTCATGCTGGGAGCTTCGAGAACACTATCCAACCATCTCGTCCTCTGTCGTCCCCTTCTCCTTGTGCCCTCCATCTTTCCCAACATCAGGGTCTTTTCCAGGGAGTCTTCTCTTCTCATGAGGTGGCCAAAGTATTGGAGCCTCAGCTTCAGGATCTGTCCTTCTAGTTAGCACTCAGGGCTGATTTCCTTCAGAATGGATAGGTTTGATCTTCTTGCAGTCCACGGGACTCTCAAGAGTCTCCTCCAGCACCATAATTCAAAAGCATCCATTCTTTGGCGATCAGCCTTCTTGATGGTCCAGCTCTCACTTCCATACATCGCTACTGGGAAAACCATAGCTTTAACTATATGGACCTTTGTGGGCAAGGTGATGTCTCTGCTTTTTAAGATGCTGTCTAGGTTTGTCATTGCTTTTATCCCAAGAAGCAGGCGTCTTTTAATTTCGTGACTGCTATCACCATCTGCAGTGATCATGGAGCCCAAGAAAGTAAAATCTCTCACTGCCTCCATTTCTTCCCCTTCTATTTGCCAGGATGTGATGGGACCGTGGCCATGATCTTCGTCTTTTTGATGTTGAGCTTCAGACCATATTTTGCGCTCTCCTCTTTCACCCTCAATAAAAGGTTCTTTAATTCCTCCTCACTTTCTGACATCAAGGTTGTGTCATCTGCATATCTGAGGTTGTTGATATTTCTTCCAGCAATCTTAATTCTGGCTTGGGATTTATCCAGTCCAGCCTTTCACATGATGAATTCTGCATATAGGTTAAATAAGCAGGGAGACAATATTCAGCCTTGTCGTACTCCTTTCCCAATTTTGAACCAATCAGTTGTTCCATATCCAGTTACTTAAGATATATCAATTTTTAACCAATGGCATGCAAGCAGCCCAATTCTATGCATAGGGTTGCAACCTAAGTTGATAACAATAGTTATGCGGAGCACAGGCTAATTTTGAGATCTTTCGCACATGTTGCCTAAACAGCCGAGTCCTGCTTTTTGCTTTTGAAGTGGTGAGGGGAGGCCAGTGTAAGCAATGTGCCCTTTTTTTGGAACTCCCAGCCATGTACGGTAGTTGTGTGACCTTCTTCAACGAGAAGGAATGGTGCTCAATTATTCTGCAGCTGAGGCTCACCTGATCAATACAGACTATCAGCCGTTTCTGTGAACCTGGCCACTTGATATTAGGTAAAAAGAAGTAATACCATCAAAGGAATGAATGTCGAGTGTAGGCAGCACTTATACTTCTGAAAGGTAAACTGGTGAGCTCTAAAAGGGATTAACAAAGCAGTGACTTGTTAGGGACAGAATGATGCAGCTGATAATAGCCGTGTTAGCTCTGGAAGAAATCTTCCTTTGGGTTAGAAAAGGACAAAATAAAATGTGTTCTCATTAGCCTTTTGGGCTTTCTAAAACTGCTTTAACCCAAGAATTAATATATAGTTCTTCCCATCCCTTCTGTTTTTCTGCTCCGTTGCTCCCTCTCTCTCTGGTTAAAGACAGAGCGAAGGCAGGAATAAACCACAGTCAAACGGAGGAGGAAGAGAGGGGAATAAATTAAACTTTCTCACATAAACTTCGAATCTGGGGAAATAACGAAATGTTAAAACCCTGATCCTCCCGCTGACTTTACCAAAATATGTTTGGAATAAACTAGGGCTTGAGGAAATGCTGCTTAAAAAGTCTTCCGAGTGTGAGCAAAACACATTTAGGTGGCGGCGGAGGAAATTGGAACCCTGTATTCAATGGTCTGAGTTTTCCATTTCCAAAGGAGCTCTCTGTGTATGGCACTGGGCTCAGTCTACTTGCGCTGGCAAGTACCTCTATGTGAGACAAGGGGGGTGGTCATCAGACAGAATCAAGCTAAGAAGGAAAACATCACACAATCAATATAAGCCACTCTGTTTCCCATTTACTCCTTGCTTCTTCTTTTTTTAAGGGCTATATTTTGTGGCTGTACAGCTAAGACCTCAGTTCAATACCTATTCACCTTCTGGGTGTGGAGAAGGGACACATGTATTGACTTGCAATGCAAAACAAAGTTTGCAGCGTTACTTAAGATTACGAGTGTTTGAACAAAGTGCTGCTGCGTGCTGGATATCCTTGCTTTCAGGGAGCAAGCAGAATAAGTACCTTTACAAACTTGTGTTTCCTTGTTCAAAGGTAAAAAGAAAAAGGCTTCAAGCAGGGGGAGGGAGGGAGTGGAAAAGAAACCCGCCCCCCCCACAATAACATAGTTTCAAGTCAACTTGAATTTGGATTTATAAGGAGATACTTCTGGGTTCATGTTAGAGTGTCTTTTTAGTGGTGGCTCCTTGTTTGTGGAACTGCCTCCCCAAGGAGGCCTGCTTGATGTCAACGTGGGATCTTTTTATTCTCTCGGGTTTTTAAATGCATTGCAATGCAGTTCTTTTCTATCTCAATATGCTGCTGATCTATTTTATTTGTCAGGGTTGCATCCAGCTGAATCCTGGATTCCAAACTGAATCAGGCTGAATTGGGGCGGACTTGGGATTCAGTCAGAAAGGGCTGAGGTGATTCCCTGGTTGGACTGAGTCCATCTGGAATGGTCTGTGGTTGTGACGGAGATGATAGCAAGGGACTGTGGTCTAGTGGCAAAGAGACTGTGTCACAGCTAAAAATTGGCCGCTGTTTCTTTAATGCTTAAAAAAGCTGGGTCAGCATGAGTCAGCGGCCTGTACCGGGTTGTATATAGAGAGTGAGAAATGTCAGTTTGGTGTTGGGTTGGTTGGTTAGTGAAATCTGGTAGTGCTGATGTGTGTACAGTTGGTCAGTCGCTTTTGCAGAAAGACTTTTAAGAATAAAAGCAGAAAGTACTCTGCGAGGACACTCTTCTCATGGACTCTTTTATGCCAACAAGGACCAGGCTGAGGAGACAAAGGAAGTCAGAACCTTTTTTTGCTTTTTACAAACACTGACAGAGTGACCATATGTTTCATTAAACACTGTGCAGGACCCCAAACCAATTCTGGCCCAGATCCAGATCAGGTCAGCCCTGGATCCTGGGTTGGATTGAGGCCACTCTAAAGCTCTGGATTAGGTCCCTAATCAGATCAGGGATGGTTGTGCACTGCCTTTCTGTGGTTTATCTTGCTTTTACGCATCGCTTTTAAAGCAGAAATGCAGTGTATACCATTTTTAAGATAAGTGAATGAATGCTTCATTCTGAGCGACATCAGCGACTCTCTTAATCCTGTTGCTCCTTAGAAGGAGAGCGGCATTGCTGTGTGGTAGAGCAAGTTTGGATGCCGAAGGATTAGATTTCCAATTAAAAGTACCTCCAATAGAAGAGACTGAAAAAGACTAATGTCAGACTAGTCTTAGAGAGCCTACAGACCTTAGGGGAGCCCATTGTGATGGTGCAAGGTAGCAACATATATTCATAGGGCTGCAGGATGAGCAGGTGTGTACATGGGGATTTAAAGAGCAATCTCTGAGACGCTCGCCACAATCCTTTAGGGTGTGTCACACACAGCAATTCTTCCCAGCCAGACATCAACTGAGACGGGATAATCTTGCTTTGAATTGTATTCTCTACCCTGATCATCACCCCATAACTGAAAATGGCAGTGCGTTTATCCCTTAGACATAGAAAAGGAATGACACAAAAGCTGCTAGATTGCGACAGCGGTGAGGAACAAAAGAAACAACAACAACTTGTAGCCCTCCAGATGAGGCTGCCATTATCCCTGACCATTGACCGTGCTGGTTGGGGCTGATGGGAGCTGGAGTCCCACAACTTCTGTTTTCCCACATGTCCCCATCAGTGACATGATATGGAAAGCAATTCTCAGTGCAGTTGAAGGAAGGCTCGGGGGGCAGTCCACCATGCTGTGGGGTTTGAATGGGATGGAGGTCTCCCTCTCTGCATACCAGACCAATTCGGCTCCTCTCTGCTTGCAGAGTGATGATGGTGTCACTGCATAGCTCCCTGTTCTGCCCATCAAAAGTACTGCTGGTGAACTTCTCACTGGTGGGAAGCCCTGAAATGGGGGCTGTGAAATGGGGGAGCTGTGGAGTCTGCCCAAGAACTACTAAATCCTGACCAGGCCCAGATTCTGTCAGTTTATGTGTTTTGTTTCTTGTATTCATATCCTACTTTTTTCTCCAAGGAGCTCAAGGAGGTGTACATGATTCTCCACCTCCTCAACAACAACCCTGTGAGGTAGATTAGGCTGAGAAGCAGTGACTGGCCCAAGGTTACCCAGGGAGCTTCATAGATGAGCAGGGTTTTGAATCCTGGTCTCCCAGGTCCTAGTCCAACACTCTTAACTACTACAACTCACTGGTATTGTGCCCATTCACCATGCCAACACCAAGCTGGCACAATCCAAATCAGGCTTCGGCCTGCTCCCCACCTCCCACCCTGGCCAGCATAAACATCAGAGTTGTGGGTGTGGCAGTTGCTCTTCCGCCAGGACTGGCCCACCCATGAGGCTCCGTGAGGTGGTTGCTTCAGGTAGCAGAGATGAGACAGCTGGGAAGGGTGGCAAAAGGAACACACAACTCACTTTCTCCTGGTACTGTTACTCAGTGTCACCTCCTCATCCACCACTGCCCTCCCTGTCAGCTTCCATTACAGTCTTCTTGTTTCTCAGGCGGTGGCTGTAAAGGAATTGGTGGCGGGTGGAGGTGGGCAAAGGAGAAGGAGGAGACATTGCCTGTGGGGTTGGAGGTGGGAATGGCAGCAGTGGAGAGGGGGCGGAGTCATCATTGGGGGTGAAAGAGGTCCCCCCCCCCAGAATTTACTATTTTGTCTCAGGTGGCAAAATGTCCTGGGCCAGCCCTGTCCACTGCTCCATCATACACTGTTGCTGCCTGACCAGGGTTTGAATTAGTCTGCCAAGGACAGCGTTCATGTCATGACGCTCTTCTGGGACTTTACTAAACTGGCTGGATGTGTCTTTGGCTGTACAGTTGTCCTCTCTCTACAGGGCCACTCGCTGTCCACAGTTAGAGCAGAATCTTGTGCATTCTTTTGCTGATGTCGAACATTAAACGCCCCCAAAACCTTTGAATGCCTTGAAAATATTCATAGAAGGTTCACAATCAAAATTTGCAGAGAATTTGGAGATGAAAGATAGGGGAAAATTAATTTTAGCAGTGAGATCACCAACCCCATGCCACTTTTGTGGAAACTTGACCGTGTTCCGGTCAATTCTGCTAATTAGCTGTTTCCCTACAGTTCATTGGATATTTGCATTGTGATATTTAGGGCTGTAAATGTCCCCCATGTTTCAGTTCAGATAATACCTTTTTCTGCTGCTGTCGGATCAAGCACTGCCTGGTTTGACTTCTTACTGATGACCTAGTATTTCACTTGGGTTCTGAAATACATTGTGTTAGTGATGTTCCTGCCCAGGAGATAAGCTGAGCTGAACCTATTATCTGGGCCATGCTATTGTCAAAAGCAAGTCAGGGGCTGGTCTGCTTCTGTTGGGCTCTCATTTATGGATCTCCTTGCCTTGGGGGTTTTAGAGGCAGCGCTCTTGGTTAACCTTTCAGGTTTTGTCTAATACCTTCCTTTTCTCAAAAAACCCCCTCTGTGCTGTTTAGCCTCCCTTCTGGTGGAAATTTCTTTGCAATAGCATCCGTACCTCTGTCCGTGGATATGCTCTTCAAGAAAAGAAATATCAAGGAGTTTGGTACACTGTGAAAAGAGGAGGGTTGGCCTGCTGATGATGTGTTGAGCTGGATAGAGGAGGAAGGAAAGAAACAGGCATGTGAAGGATGCGATTTTATGGTTCCCGGGTGGGCTTCCTAAGGGCCATCATCAGATTTACCCTCCCAGCCTCAAAGAGACAGCTCCAGTGTTCCAGAATCAGAGCTTCCCTCTCTGATGACATTGGCTCCTCAGACACAGGGAATCGAACCTGGTTCACCAGATTACGAGTCCACCACTCTTAACCACTACACCACACTGGCTCTCAGTAATGATTCTGAATGCCAGTTCCTGGGAACCACAGGAGGGGAGAGGGCTCTTGTACTCAAATCCTGCTTGCTTGTTTTTCACAGGCTTCTATCTGGGCTAACAACATATATTAACTTATATGTTAATAAGTTTATCTTGTGGTGTCTGTAGGGCCAAACAGCGTATGTACGTTGGAGATGTTCCAGAAACTTTCTGTGGGTCTTGTTTCCCTTCCACTGCTTCCCATGGTAGAGAAAACACACAAAAAAGTTCTTTTGTTTCCAAAACCACCTTGGGGTTCCCACCCACCACACTTAGCTCAAAGAATACCTTCTGCTCCCATCAGATCAAGTACTCTTGCTGGTTTCCCATAGGCATCTGACCAGCCACTGTGAGAACAGGATGCTGGACTAGATGGGCTATTGTCTTTAAGGTCTTACTCTGGTTTGACTCCTTTCTGATGACCTAATAACACACTTGGGTTCTGAAATGGGATGTTCCTTCCCAGGAGATCAGTTGAGATGAACAACTGCAGCCTTAGTGTGTCCACTGAGGTTTTTTTTTGGGGGGGGAGCGGGTGGCGCTGTGGTCTAAACCACTGAGCCTCTTGGATTGCTGCTCAGAAGGTCAACATTTTGAATCCCTGTGATGGGGTGAGCTCCCGTTGCTCGGTCCCAGCTGCCAACCTAGTAGTTTGAAAGCACTCCACTGCAAGTAGATAAATAGTTACTGCTGCAGTGAGACGGTAAACGGTGTTTCCGTGCGCTCTGGTTTCCGTCACGGAGTTCCATTGTGCCAGAAGCGGTTTAGTCCTGCTGGCCACATGACGCAGAAAGCTGTCTGTGGACAAACTTCCGGCTCCCTCGGCTGGAAAGTGAGATGAGCGCCGCAACCCCATAGTCACCTTTGACAGGACTTAACAGTCCAGGGGTCCTTTACCTTTTTACTGAGATTTTTACAGTGCCATTGCAGTTCCTTTTAGGGGTGGGGGTTTGTGGGGGCATATTGACACCTGGATCAGTGGTGAAATAATACAATTGTCCTATTGCTTCCCCACTCATTAGATATTAGTGGATGTTATTTATTTTTTATTTATCTAAACCATTTACAGAGACCACTTCATAGCAATGGGTTTTGGTTTATATTGAAAGAAAAAATGCCACAGGTACAAAAGTATACGACAAACACAATATCAACAACTGATCACACAGTTGGTTAGAGCATGGTGCTGATAATGCCAAGGTTGTAAGTGCAGGGGGTTTGAACTACATGGTCGTCAGGGTCCCTTCCAACTCTACAATTATATGATTCTATGAAAGAAAAAAGGAAATCCATGTATGCAAATGTACAATGCAGCACAATATCTGTGCATGCAAAACAATAATCACATCAACGTGAAATTGCAAACTATATGAAGCTCTCCAGAAGGTTCTACCCACACAACCATTCTTACACGCTCTCGCTTTTATCAACTTTTCATCCCCATATACAACACATTTACCAGTTTTCTTTTCTTTTCCTACACATCCTTTCATCAATCCCTTTACACACAACAGCCAGTAATCATCAAACCCACCAATCAATAATAGCAGCTGACAACCAATAATAACCCAACTATCCCACATCACAGCAGCATCGATAAATCCAGTCTACACCTGCTGAGCTAACAGATACGCTGTTCCATCTCTCACTGAGGAGCAGGGAATGTATTTCTATACCAGTACAGGCTTTTCTTTTCTTTTCTTTTTGCTGGGGGTGGGTCAGATAACACAGCTTTCCCTCTGAAAACCTCCAACAACCAAATCCTAACGCACATGGTACTCCACCTAATCCCACAAGACAATCCGAGCAATAAATATTACACAACATTGGGGTGATTGTGCAAGCGTTGCCATATTTCAAGAAGTAAAACGTTTTTAAAAACCCAGACATTTTGCAGATTTCCCCAAATCCCCCCCCAACGCTAATTCCATCACTGGAATCCTGGACATAAGGCAACCCTAGATTGTCCTTGTGCCCACACGCCAATCCAGAAGTCCAGGAGGTCCCCCTTTTATGTCTACAAGCCCAGTCATTTCAGTGAGTTGGAAACTCCATTCTCCTCTTCTGTCCCAGTGTCACAGCAGAAGCTGGTCCCAAATATCTATCTCCCAAGAAGACTGTAACTCTGATTTTATTTCATCTTAACTGTTTTTAATTCTGAATTTTGCATAGTTTTAAGCCATCCTGGGATCTGCTGGTGAAGGGTGTGTAATAATTCGATATAACAACAACAACAACAACAGCAGCAACCTGTTATACAAGTGGGGGGAGCAGTGATAGCTGGTCTGTCCTCTCACCCTCCATCCCATCCTCCTCACTGTTTGAATTAAGTAAATGAGGTCAATTGTCTGTTGCAAAGTTTGCTTTCAAGTGAAAATGCAGTCTCCTAAAGAAATACAGTGGTACATCGGGTTACAGACACTTCAGGTTACAGACGCTTCAGGTTACAGACTCCACTAACCCAGAAATAGTACCTCGGGTTAAGAACTTTGCTTCAGGATGAGAACAGAACTCATACGGTGGTGGCGTGGCGGCAGTGGGAGGCCCCATTAGCTAAAGTGGTGCTTCAGGTTAAGAACAGTTTCAGGTTAAGAACGGACCTCCAGAACAAATTAAGTTCTTAACCTGAGGTGCCACTGTATGCTGAAAACTGAAATGGACAGATTTCTCCATCCCTTCTGGGGGCTGGGAGTAAGCCCCTCCCCTTGCCTTCTCCCCCTTGAACTTTCTCAGGAAAAAAAGATGAACTTGCCATTACAATGTACAGCAGATAGAACCTCTGAGGTCAAGCTGAGCAAAATGTAAGAATAATTTCCATGGGCAGTGTGCATGTGAGTGTGGTGAGGGGGCATTCCTGGAGTAAATCTTTGCCTTTAACAGATACATTTAACAAGGCTGGTATATTTATAATGTGCGCAGAGGGGTGCGAGTGGGATTTTGCCCCCAGGCTGCAAGCCCAGAGCTGAGCATCCTTGGAGAATAGTTTTCCCAAGCTGCATACTGAGTGAGATGCTCAGCTGGTTCCTCCTATTACACCTCTGTCATAATAGCTCCCTGTTCCTCCCAGTGATATGAGGCATAGCCTGTTGTTTTGACCTTGCCTTGTTGGAAACTGATTGCCAGTTTAGCTGTCCTTTTCTGCCCATTTGAGATGGTAATGGAAGAAAAATCAGAACTGACAGTGCATTTTAAATCCAAACGCTGACAGAAATGGGCCTCTCTCTCTCTCTCTCTCTCTCTCTGGAACAATTCCAGCTCTTGGTTGGAAAAACACAGGGCAGCTGGTTGGTGAAGACAGTGTGGCTTTCTGCATACCTGTATATAAAGGTGCATCCTTTTTCTTCTCCAGGATCTGCTAGAGAAAGTCGGGCATGGAAGAAGAACGCTAGGATTTTACAATTGCTATGAGGATGAAAGAGGAGTCCCTTTCTCACTAGACGTTTGTCTTCCATTATCCATTCCACTGCACAATAACCAAGGGGAAGATGGCTGCCTCTGTCCTCCTTTTCAGCTATATGATCCAGGCGGATGACTAGATTTTCTGAACCCAGTATGCTATTCAGACTGCCCCCAACCCGCTCTGTTTTAGGAATGAGCAAGCCCAGTAGCTAGAGATACCAAGCTGTTAGAAATTGAGGGATGTTGGCTGTCTGAAAGTTGTGGCCAACTCATCAACAGTTTGCCTTGCTGTAAATATGAGTACAGAGGTACTTTGGGTTACATATGCTTCAGGTTACATACGCTTCAGGTTACAGTCTCCGCTAACCCAGAAATAGTACCTCGGGTTAAGAACTTTGCTTCAGGATGAGAACAGAAATTGTGCTCCGGTGGCGCAGCAGCAGCGGGAGGCCCCATTAGCTAAAGTGGTGCTTCAGGTTAAGAACAGTTTCAGGTTAAGTACGGACCTCCAGAACGAATTAAGTACTTAACCTGAGGTACCACTGTATATGTGCATTTACAGCATATGTGCCTTTAAAGCACGGTGGTAACCAAACAGTCATGGCTCCCCCCAAAGGATCCTGGGAGCTGTATCTTCACGTAGGTATCGAGAATTGTTAGGAGAACCCTATTCTCTTCACAGAGCTAAAATTCCCTGTGAAAGAGGTATTCGTTGTCGAAACCAATCTGGGAACTTTAGCTCTGTGAGGAGGATAGGGGTCTCCTAAGAACTCTCTCTTAACAAGCCACAGCTCCCAGAATCCTTTGTGGTATCGCAGTGCTTTAAATGTATGTTGTGAATGTGGCCTACAGCTACATTTCCAGTCAGGCTCCCCCTTTACGTTAGGTAATAATAATAATAATAATAATAATAATAATAATAATAATAATTTATTATTTATACCCTGCCCATCTGGCTGGATCCCCCCAGTCACTCTGGGCGGCTTCCAACAAAACACTAAAATGCAATAACCTATTAAACATTAAAAGCTTCCCTAAACAGGGCTGCCTTTAGATGTCTTCTAAAAGTTTGGTAGTTATTTTTCTGTTTGACATCTGGTGGGAGGGCATTCCACAGGGTGGGCGCCACTGCCAAGAAGGCCCTCTGCCTGGTTCCCTGTAACTTGGCTTCTCGTAGTGAGGGAACTGCCAGAGGGCCCTCGGCGCTGGACCTCAGGACATTAAGCCAACGTTTTCAGTTATCTCTTTCCGAGGTACTTACTCAACCAATTCAGATCCCACCAAAAAGTATAATTGATTTTTATTTTTATTACTATCGTTATTAGAACGATGGAGGTGGAGACGCTCCTTCAGGTATACCGGACCGAGGCTGTTTAGGGCTTTAAAGGTCAACACCAACACTTTGAATTGTGCTCAAAAACGTACTGGGAGCCATTGTAGGTCTTTCAAGACCGGTGTTCTGTGGTCTCGGCAGCCGCTCCCAGATAACAACAACAAAGAGGAAGGAGAAGAAAGGATGGAAACTGGTCATTGTGCATCTTTCCACATAGGATTTATTCCACTGTGTGCACATGTGCAGCAGTACAAATATCCGGCTGCCGATAAATCCCCCCTTCCCTCAATGGAAAATAAATCAGAAATGATGAGAGATAAAGAGGGTGCAGGATGCTTGTCCACACCAACAGGGCTATTAACATGCACATTGAAAATCCAGCCTGGTTAGGCAGATTACTGCGGCATCCTTGGTTCTACAGCTTGATACATTGTAATTTGTTACTTATGAGAACAGCGCCTGATTGACAGTTTTGAGAACATAATCTGCTAAGAACTTCCACTTTGAAGTTTTATCGCATTACACCTGCACTTGGCAGCAAATTGATCTGACAACATTATTACACTTTTTTGACAGGCTTGTTTGAAAATCCTTAACTCCCAGTGGCGCCTTTTGTTTTATTACTGCTTTATTATTGGCTCCATCTTCTAATCACTTACGAAGACCATATCTTTGGGTTTGCCTCTGCGTCCCTTGATGGAAAGATTCAGGGCAAAGTTTTTTCCCCAAAACACAAAGGAGTCTTTATGTAATGTTTTGAGGTTAATCATCTAAAGTTTGGCACAGAGTAGTTCTTGTTTAAAACCAAAGCGGGTGGGTGGGTACGATGGGGCACTGCCCCTCACCTGACCTCTGGTCAGCTGCATTGCTGCTTAACAGGAGGTAGCAAAGGAGGGGTGAGTTGGTGGTGAGGTTGAGGTGGTGCAAATACAATGGTGGACTTAATCCAGTGTTCCTGCTGGTGTGTTTGCACCACAGCAAACCTGCAGCTGCGTCTCTCTTCCTCCTCTACATCTAGATAAGCAGCAATGGCATGATGAGATAGACAGTTGGTGAGTGGCATTGCACTACCATGCTGGCCGCTGCCAATTATTGCCCAAGAGGAGAGATAATTCCAACATGTGTGTTGTTGTTCCTACAATGTCAAGTCTTCGGGAAAGCTATTCCTTCCCTGGTTGCAGCAAGAGCAGAGAAAACAAGGAGAGTCCTTTTTAATGAATTAATTCACTCATAAAAGCCAGTGTGGTGTAGTGGTGAAGAGCAGTGGACTCGTAATCTGGTGAACCAGGTTCGGGTCTCCGCTCCTCCACATGCAGCTGCTGGGTGACCTTCGGCTAGTCACACTTCTTTGAAGTCTCTCAGCCTCACTCACCTCACAGAGTGTTTGTTGTGGTGGAGGAAGGGAAATGAGAATGTTAGCAGCTTTGAGACTCCTTAGGGTAGTGATAAAGTGGGATATCAAATCCAAACTCCTCCTCCTCTTCCTCCTCCTCCTCTTCTTCTTCTTCTTCATAATAGCAAGAGACAAAAGAATGCCACAAGCCTTAACAATGGTGTTGCTCCAAAGTGGGCTCCTCCTCCCTCCTTCCTAGCAACAGCATCCCCCTTTACGGCAGCTGCTTGTGGCCAAATGTCTCTGATTTCATTGTTCCTGAACCTTTAATGAACGCCGAGTTCTGGAGAAGGGGGATCAGAAATACTCTCCAGTGACAACGTGTCAGCTGGCTGCTCTGTCGCAATCCCTCCCCCTTCCTCTAACACTTCCCAACTCTTTTGTTCATCTATCTCTGAGCTGTGACCCTCCTCAACCCCCTCAAAACTCTGCTGTAAATCAATGCATTCTTCTTCTCCTGAAGGGTCGGTAGAAGCAAGGGGTGATTCTACCACTCCTCATCCATCTTGCCCTCTTGACTCCAATCCCTGACATATAATCATTTCCATCAGTGGTTCCCAAACTTTTTCAAGCCACTAGCTCCTTGGTTCCCAGTGTCCCCTCCCCCTTCCGGAATAGTGGTTTGCACAACACTCTAAGGAATAATGCAATAAAATCCAAAGCAAGAAAAATCCATTTTTCATTTATTCAAAACCAAATTGAAACTATATAGTTTAATTAATTCAACAAAATGGTTGAACTTCATGTGGTGTTACCAACCTTCCAAAGTCTGATAATCATTTAGCAAGTGGCTTAAATTCCACCTTTAGTTACAACTTCATTGTTCCATAAATTCCTAACATGATGGATGGGCTGAATGAAGCGATGCCAGTTCCCCAGTGTCTGGTTTAAAGTCACTGAGCAGGAGTCTTGAATCAGCACCACCAGTGCCTCCCCTTGTCTCTTACTCCACCTCCCCCTGGTAATCTACTGGTTTACATTATTATTCCTATGGATATACTCCACTTTATAACCCTGAGGGCATCTCAACAACTCAGCTTTCATAAGATTATTCAGATAAAGTCACACTCCAATCCACTTCAGAAATTGCATGGTCAATATGATATCAATATGGAACCAGGATGATTTGGGCAGCACTTCCTGCCTTCATCGTTGGTCTTCCCTGGTGTCCAACCAGGTACCAACTCCCACCAAAATCCTCTGAGGCTAAGAAGTGGGCCTGAGCAGCTGGATCATGTTTGTTTGCAATGGAAGAAGCACTGTACACTTGGGATGGATGAATCTGTCTGTTTCAGTTTCTTTCTGTTTTTCATATTTCCGCTCTTACGTTCAGTTCTCCACATTTCCATATCAGTTTGCAATTTTTTAAGGAACAATTCCGCATGAAAATTCATCGGCATTTTAATGCTACTTTCTCCTAATATGCACATATTTGCATACAATTTTGCCCAACATGCACAATTTTGCTATGCAAGTTTCCTTTATATAGAATGCAGTTTTTGTATGTTATTTGCACTAATAAAGGCATTTTTGTGCGCAGTACCCTATCAAATGCAATTTTTGGTGATGTTGCAGAGCATGTTGAGAAATCATAGTCCAACAATGCCTTTTTCAAAAGTCTGTCCAAGGGAATCTCAGAGCAAGTTAATTACCTGCAGTGTGAAACAATCTTGCTATGAAGAATAAGGAATGATGAGTTAATTTGTGCCGTTGCCTAAACATTCAAGAGCAGCCTAGGGGAAATCCCCACTTGAATTAATGGATACACTCTACTAGACTCCCCCCCCCCCCCCCATTTTTACATCCTTGCCATTTGTCTTCTTTAAACTATGGCTCACATAGAAGATCAGGGGTTAAAAAAAATGTCTTCTGTATTATATTATACAGCACTGATAAAACTGTTATCAGACTTATTAATCATGCTCTTTGCCATACCCCAGAAGTCTAAGTAATGTTTTTAATAATGCAGATAATTTAAAAAAGTGGTTAGCCTTAATTTATCACATCTGCAGCCAAAATAATTTTGGGAAGAAATATTCATCTTGCAGACTCTGGTGTCTAACCCTTCGGCTCTGGAATTTAAGCTGGGCTAATGCATTTATATATATAATGCTTTCACTGGCTACAAGTTTGTTCTCCAGTGGCAAGGAACTTCAGTAAAACAACCAGTGCAAAAACCTACCCTCCATGCACACACTTTTCCTTGGTCTTTCAGGTCCTAATCCAGATGGGAGGTAAGGTAAAGGACCCCTGGACGATTAAGTCCAGTCAACCTTGACTATGGGGTTGTGACGCTCATCTCGCTTTCAGGCTGAGGGAGCCGGTCTTTGTCTGCAGACAGCTTTCCGGGTCATGTGGCCAGCATGACTGAACTGCTTCTGGCGCAA